CCATTTTAGTAGAACAGGAAGAATGCAGCAAAAGGTCAGTGCTGAAACTCCACTAAAGAAAGCTGAGCACACATTCCAGTTGCGAACATATGCTCACTGTTTATCCGATCAAAAAGGAAATTTCAGTTTTGCTCCATACTTGCCTCTGTACCACCAGTCTCATGTGCATAAGACGAACTGTTCTTAAATCTGACATGGAATATTCATTCTAGTGAAAGGATGCTTGAAATAGCTGCAAAGCAGTCTTAAACTAGGCCCATGCTATGGCAAGTGCATTATAGTAGGGAAAATGATGTCAAGAGAAGTTACATGAAAGAATTAAAAGTTTTTATTTCTTACTGCTATGTGCCCATCACAGCCTGACCCTGTCCAATTGAGACTTGTCTTTGCAGGAGAAATAAAAATGTGACTATTCAGCTCCTGCATCCCAGATACATGGAAATATGTTGGTAATCCAGACATTCTCCCTGTCGATATGGCTGAAACCCACACAACATGCCTTGATTGGTAACCAGCACACATACCTTTATCTGCAGTCTGTTCACTGCTCCATTGCCAGGGATGCTGCTGGGAGCTAGGGCACGGATTCCCTTCAAGGGAAAGATAGTTCCATTTAAGTGTCTCTATCTGTCTCTGCTCTCATTACGTGTAGACCTTGTCAATGAAGGTAGCTGCCCAGACAATGTTTCAGCTCATGTCAAAAACGACACCTGCTATCTGGTTGCCCGGATCAGTCACTTGGCTCTTTGACTGCATAAATTAGAATCTTGCTGACTGCACTGAGCTTAAACTCCCAGTGCACAGGAGTAACCCAGATACACAGGCACTCTCACACAAGTTTCTGAATATAGAGCTGTTTCCTACCCCGAATGCCCTGAGCACTCTTTCTCCAGAAGCAGACTCTGCATATTGACCCTTGCTATGGCTCACACTTCCTAGTAACTTCTTCAGCCTTCCCCTGCAGATGAGGAACATAACAGCAAAGATTACACATCTATCTGCCTTACACAACTTTGAAGTCCTCAGCTCTGGTGACTACAAGACAACACACAAAGAAGATCTGCCTTTCCTAACCTTGCAGGCAATCCAGTTGTGTGCTATAAATGTCTGCTAGACTTGGGTGCAAGTCTTCTCTTCTACTTAATGATGAGACTTTAATCCCTGTGGAGTAGGTGATCTGAATAGTTTTACTCCCACCTACAAACAGCTGTGGTCAGGAGTCTGGGAGACATCAACCCAACATCTTTCTATCTTCTCCTTCCCAGTCAACAGAGTTGGGAATGGATGTGGGGTAGGAGAGGGACAAAAGACAGTATCTTTCCTACGAAAATTAATAGCAACTCATACCTACTACGAAAGCTGGGTCTCTAGCTTCAGACCTTTAGTGTTGACAAAACCAGGAAAGAGGTCAGATGACTGAATTATTTTTTGTAAATCTCTGGGATTCAGACTTCTCCTTTCAAATATGAGGTACCCAGACCAAGAGATTGAGAACTGAAAAAGCATCAGTGAAGGGACAAAAGTGTTGGAGCCAACTTTGCTTGTGTCAAGATGCAAGAGAAAGCCTTCGCCTGACCTAACATTACACAGAACAAGAAAGACTCAGTTACCTGGCAAGTGCTCTGAGAAATGCCTCTCAAGTTAAAAATCACGAAATCAGAAAATCTTATTTTATAGAAGGTTTCATCAGCAATAAAACTTTTTTAAAAAATATTTTCCTCCCTGTCACTGCAGTTTCAACCTTCCATCCCAGCTAAAGTCTTGGAAGGTCTGCTGGTCTTCTGCTTAGGCAAGAGGAACATGGATAGTTGCTGGGTTTGTTAGCAGTGCCATAGAGCACCATATAATTCCCCTTACCAAGCTGTCATTCCCAGACTGTCTCCAAAATGTTGCTTGTTGCCTCACTGCTGAATTCACTATTTTAAGAAAGTTGTTATCTGCAAAATAAACACATTCCTGAATAAAAGCAATTTAACACATCTGATTAGTCTTTGTCAGATATTTTTTCATTCAACTTTTTCTGCTTAGCACCCCCATACTGACCATGGCATTGTCCATTAGCATGATGTTAGAAATTGTCAATCTTTAACATTTAACAGTGTATTTCAGAAAATCTCCTGGCTCTCTTCCAGAGAAACACAGAGATCTGGACACATGGCGTCCTGACCAAAAATACCACCATCGACAACAACAAAATTGTTTTCCTAATAATGATGCTACCTGAATGCAGCACTTGTTAGTTGTGTCCCTGTTACTGCAGTGTCCCTGATGCTGCTCTAATGAGAAACTCTGAACATAACTAATATCTAACTAAACTTGTTACATGACTTTCCACTCTTCTAGAAAACAACATTGAACAGATCTCTGTGGAGAGCAGAGACTGGCAGCTAACAATTCTCCTTTTTATTTTTTTAAGTTCAACATTTTGGGCCCAGACTTTGGCCTTGCAGAGTGGGAACAGCTGAGAAGGTGATGAGAGACACTGTGTGGGCTGGTCTGCAGAGTGCTGCCTTGGGAATCAGGAGGTTTGCAATGGATCTATTACTCTGTCTTATGGAAACTGATGAACTCACAAGCTGCTTTGGCTGTCCTTTTTTCTATTCAGCACCAACCAATTATGCAGACTAGGTGACCTACCTTCTGCCAGTCCTTAGAGTGGGAGAGAAGTTGGACCACGCTTCCTTTTGCTGGAGGGCTTCCTGTCATTCTATGCCAAGCTTTAAACAGGCTTAAACCTAGGCCAGATCTTTTGCATGAATCTATAAAGGATGAAGGTTCTGCTCTGTTACGTGATGGTATATTAAGAACAGTTCTGCTTCAAGAAATAATTTGTGGCTGTGTGGTAAAGAGTAAGACTTGCCATAACCCTGTCTGTATGCAAACACAGCGAAGATATCTCGTGTGCTGTGAACTAGCTTCTGTGATAACAAATGAGGGGAAAAAAAAAAAAAGAGGGGCATGTCTAGCATGTCTGTGCCTGACATATCATCTTTGGAATATGAGTATAAACCAAACATGGAAGAAATAAACCAAGATTTTTTTTCTCAAGCAAAACGGTATTCATGTATTCCTAACACCTCCCTGGTTTCCTTTGGGAGTGGATCCTTGTTCTCTCTTCCCGCCAAAAACTACAAGAGAACTGTTCTGTCATTTGTGCCTGCCTGTAGGAAATTCACATGTTAAAACTCGAGGATAACCCTTGTTTGGAATGAGAAAGTGATTATTTATTTTAAACAATTTTCTAAGTTGCTAGCTTTCCTGATCTCCTTCCCACTGAACTCATGAGTATCTCTGTGGTGACAAATCTGCCTCACTTGTGCGATAACAGGAGGAAAAAAAGACTGATTATGAACAAACTGCATTAAACTTTAAACATTCCCTAAGGGGAAAGGAAGGCAGTTAGAAAGTAAACGTTACAATGCATATTTTAAAGACAGTGATGGCTCTGAGAAGATAAGCATTTTTTTTTTAATAATCACATGGATTGGAAATGAGCAGATCTTGTGACTCAGTTGAGGAAATCAATACTTCATCCGTAAAACTGTGGTCCCGGGCCTTGTTACTCATTGATCCTGGCCTCTTACAAAGACACTGCAGCTGTGCTAAGTGTGTAAAATATTAGTATTATTCCTTTCTAAAAATTACATATTCACTTGGCATAGTTGAAAAATCATAAGGTAAAGCAAAAGGCAGCAGACAAAGGGATCTGAAGTTTTTCTTTGTGAGCAAAAGATAACTGCAGCACTGCTTCAGCAAAGACAGAGAGGCTTTAAAATGCCCACTTCACACAGGCCAAGACCTGGTGCAGTGGTTCACCATTTTTCTTTATAGCCAAGCTGCTCTCGACATGCTTGTGAGCATGTAAGCATCCAAAGCATCATGTTACATCCCTATTCATATGAAACTCTTGTCTTGCTTGCTTTGTTCGGTTCAATTATGCTTACACGTACTCTCCTTATTAATGTGCAGACCCTTCTGCTGGAATACATCATGCAAGGTCAGTAGTTTGAAAAACTGCCAGACTTATTAACAATAAGATCTGCATAAAACACAGCCATTTTTCTCCTCTTAATGTATTAATACAGTTCTTTGAAACTAATTAAGACAAAAAACTAATTAAGACTGCTCTGAAGAAGCTAAAATAGCATCATGTAAAATGAGGGGAAATGAGGTGGTCACTCTCAGGAAATTGCAAGAGATAAAAATGAAGATGCACATACATTATTACAGAATGTAAGCACTGAGACTTAAGCAAATGAAATAGTGAACCAGTAGGGAAGAGTGACCATTTTCCAGCTTCTAGTTCTTTGGTTCATTACCTAAGCCCCCATCTTGCAAAAACAAACACAATTGTTTATCTGCAAAAGTGTTCAAAAGACCAGAGCCACTTAAAGAAAATTCTCCCCAAATATTGAACTATCTTCATATACAGTCGGTGATAATTCTGCCAAGGAAATGACTGGCAAAGTTTTCATTGTTCACTGGTGAGGTCCATAACTGTCTTTACACATTCTTCTGTAAATAAGGAAGCCATCTGTGAGACCTCTGAGTAGCCGACTGTTTTGGTCCCTTTGCATCAGCAGCCAATGAAACCTCATTTCCGCCTGTTCTTGAATAACAGCATTCATCAAACCTCAGTCAACCAAAGAGGAGAGCGAGTTACTGTTACGGCTGTGGCAAGCTTACCTTTGGTGAGCTGTTGATGTCAGAGTGATGATGTGGGGTGTGGGGACAGCTCCCACACTATAAAGATGGGTCAGTCAAATATACCTAAGGCTGCCCACCAGCAAGTGGGATCTACAAAACATATTCCCCACCAGTCTGAGTCCTTGTGTTCTGTCTCTGCCTCCAGCTGAACTGCTCTCAGGCTTTAGTTTCAAGTCAATAATCTCTGTTTGCTTTCCAAAAATAAGTTTCGTCCACCATAATGAACGGAGGAAAAAAAAAGGTGATATTTTTAGGGACATTAATTCTGACCACCTGCCCAGGAATTGAACTGGATGGCCACTGCACAAAGACTTTTTATCACTATGTCTTGCGAAGCCAGCATTCACTGGACATTGCTTGCCTTTGTTCTCCTTTTTCTAGTTGGGATTGCTTGATCCAAGTGGTAAACAAAACTAACAGCACATTGCTGGAAAGAGAATGGCAATCTCTGTTGTCCAGGTCCATTGCTGGGAAGTCAGGGGAGAAGTCAGATGTGAACTGGGAAGGTAACTATTTGGTAGGAATCAAGAGGCAGTTAAGGCTTTACTGCAACGTGGGCATCGGGTTTCACCTTCAAATCCTCCCAGATGGAAGGATAAGTGGAGTTCACAATGAAAACCCATACAGTGAGTTGCTTCCACAAATGGAATAGACACTTAATTGGCTGTGAACTCTAGTAATTACCCTTTGTAGAATGCAAGTGTTATTACTTGATATTATTAATCTCTGCTATATCTGTTGCCCTTTAGAGGTCTCCAAGATCAAAAAACTTTAGTACCTTCTAGGCTGAAATGTGTCACAGATGCCTGGATAAATACCAATTTATTTTTACTCTGTTTTACTGCACATATAAGAAAAGATAAACCAGGTTACAAATTTTCTCTGCTGCATTTGCATTTACTACACTCCTCGCCTTATCATTTGCCTTTTAAATTCTCAAAGGTCTCATTGTGCTCTCAGGGCCAAAGGATGATTTTTTAATTCTAGTCTACTTTATATTTGAATTGTAGTACTTTGGTGTCCTATTCCTGGTTTGCTTGTTCTGAGAGTTCTGCTCTGTAAGATTAAAAGCCAAGCATTAGCCCTATCTTTTTGAATTTCCTGAAGACAACATATAAAACAGTATATATACATATCATTTGCAGCTAAGATATCATAGGGGATTTCAAAATGCAAGGCATGCCTCTTTAGATTTCAATAACACACTATAATTACAACATATTAGATGATAGGAATCAGAGAGCCCAGCAATATTTGATAGATCAGAGAGCAAAAGGATCCATAGCAAGTGAATATGATTCCAGAGAATTTATTCTAAAATCCTATAGCATGTAGGAAAAAATAAGATCTTCTCTGTGTACTTTTATTGCTCTGGACTAGAGAGAGAATTATAACAAATAAAAAAGGTATGCTCACTAGGGTTTTAAACTGAATCCGTTATATGTAAATTGCCTTTGATTTGCTGTAAATTCTGTAAAAACACTGTCATTGAACTTCTTGACCTTTTAGGTCTCTTTGAAACATCCACTGTAGAGAAAGGTGTTGTTACTCTGGTGTGAAAAGTATTCTCTTCATTGCAATGAACGGGAAGCTATATGTAATGGTGAGTACAAGTGCAAAGAATTTTTCAAAGCTCCCTAGTTGTTTAATTTTTTCCCTTTCCTGGAAATCTCTAGTTTCAAGCAGAGAAAATAGCCCTTCAATTACAGTGAGCCTGCCCAAACTGCTGTCATCAGTGCTATTCAATGTAGCAAGTGACATGGCTGTTGAAGGTCTGTTATTGCAAAATTTTCCAAAAAGGTGGTACTGGAGCATCCTCGGAATGTATTCTGCAAATAGTTCAGATTAATTAGACAGCTTCTCTCATCTTCAAAGGGCTAACTCTCGCAAACACACTCTAGTAAAGATCCATTTTGTTAATGCCAACATTGTATTACACATGAAGAGAAATAATGTACTCTGTAAATCTAACAGGCAATTTGCGTGCGTATATGTGTGCACATACCCAAGTGTGTGGGAGAGGAGCAGTTAGACATATCTCTGCTAGCTCGCATTAATAAAATAATGAACGTATGTCGCTGCCAACAAAAAAAAACTGCACCATGCAGAATAAGTAACTGCCCTACATTGTCCTACAGTGGCCACATATGCACTGGAGGATATTTTAAGAGTGAAAAAAACAGTAATAGTTACTAACAATATTGGCCGGGTGATACTGAAACATCATTACCATCATCTTTGTCTGAGAAGTATTAGCTAGGCTGCCTGAATGTAATTTAATTTGGAGTCTTCAGCAATGTTTCTAGTCTTGACAATGAGTAGAAAACAGCACTTGTTAGGAAACGTGTTTGAAAGAGGCTGGCTCTGGCAGCAAGTGAAAACAGTTTATCTCAAAACAATTAATGGAACTGACTAAATTTGTCTTGCTTTTTGCCAATAAACAACCACTTTTTTTTGAAACAGATATAATGTCAGAAAAGCATTTAAGTTGCTTGTTAGAAATAATGTGCTTATTTCTTAATTAGACAATGTTGTGAAAGACCTGTGACCATTACTGATTCCTGTTTTCACAGATGATGAAGGTAGGACATTTTCAGACTCCAGTCTAGGAGAATTCTTTCATTCATACCTAATTTGAAAGACCCAAGCCCAAGCCCAAATGCTTTCCTTGATTTTGATCTTTCTAAAGAAATATGGGGTCTTGTCCCCTGAGCTCCTTTACATTTTTTTTGCCAGTTTCAATTTAGTCTTTCTTACTTTTAAAGACATTTTAGAAAGCTCTAATAGATACTCATTTTCCCTTGCACAATGAAATGTCCTAACTTAAACTGTTATAAACATTGAATGGCAGTATTACAAAGATGTAGAAATACAACAGCTTTGCTGACATTTATATGACAGGCCTCTGATGACAGGGAATAAAATTGATTTCCCTCTAATGCAACTAGAGCAGCCCCTTTCATCAGTGTTCTGTGCTTGTCTCCTGTTTTTGCACCTTCTCTCCCAGTTAGCTCCCTCTCCATGAGTTAACGTGATGTGACACACAGAAAAATATATCAGTTTTCCTGGCTTAGAACCTGTTGTCAAATAAAGTATCTCACTATTGGTTAAATACAAGAAAGATATAGTACTAATATGAGGTCTTATTCAGAAGTGTTGTTCAAGTAGATAGCTCTCCCTGAAAGTTGTTTGTAAGAGAACCAAAGGTTTTAACAAGTATATTATTATTCTATAAATTACAGGACTGTCTTGCAGAGTGGAGGCATGAATAAACCTGTGTTACTTGGGCAAAAAGGTGTGATGCTGACATAAATCTTTGCTTTCAAAGAAAATGGAGAGATACATGATTCATGAGAAATTAACTTGCTCAGTCATAGGAAGTGCACAGTCCAGTATGTGGACAGGTAGCATCTGAGTTCATCTGACATCAAATTAGCACTGAGGAAGGAGATTTATTGTTGGGCACAAATACTATGGCACCATCTGTTACACTCTATGACAACCTCTCCTTCTGTAAAAATACTACAAAAGTCATTTTTTTTTCTGAAATATTTATTGTACCTGATTTATCATTTTTCCCCTCTCCATATGCTGCAGGCTGTTTTTCAAGACAAATGTAAATTCAAGGAAACCTCGTTGCCCAATAACTACAACGCATATAAATCAAATGCTGAATATCAAATCAATATCAGTCATCAAATATGAATTACATAGCTCTCGGCAAACATAGGAGAGTGAAGAGAAGAAACAAGGTTTCTCCTCCCATGACAGTGACACACTTTTTGCCCAGAATGTGAACATAAGCAAAGCAAAAGATAAATCCTAGGAAAAACTGTTCCATTTTGTACATGGGAATAATCTCACAGGTGAAATATTTATACTGTTCATTGAAAGTATATATATATATGTTTATAAAATATGTATGTATATATTTGGATAAGAATATTTGTACTGGATCCATCACATAGCATATCCAATACTGTCCTGCTTCTATTCAGTACAAATTTTATTTGGCTGTGTGCTGCTTTGATTCTGAACTGATAAAAATGCAAGCTAGACTGCAAAGGGAAAAAAGTATTTGGAAGTCATTGAATGGCTGTGGATAATTATCTAACCAATCATTGACATTGACTTCAGACAATAACCCTTCACAGAGAGTTGTTTACATATCATAGGCCAAGTCTTCAGATGACATTATCTCAGCAGTTCACCCCAGCTGAGTTTATTCAGGATAACCTTGCTGAGCTAGCTGAGAAAAGAAAAAGAAAAATTACTTTCCCATTTGTAAACTGCATGTAAGTTATTTAGAAACTACATAAAGAAATTTGGGCATGGTGTTGTAAATTCTTAAGTGAAATTTCATTCAAAAAATCGCTCTATGTCTATATAAAGACACATTCATGAAAGTAGAGGAGTATCACAATACAAGGCAAAATACGGAACATTGCAAATAATTCCTCGGTGGGCCCTTCAAAGCATATTTCATCTACAAGCTTTGAAAGCATGGCAGTGAATGCCCCATACCAGGCTATGTTCCTCATATTGCTCATACGGGATACTGCAATGGAGTTGATACCAATTTATAAGGATCTTTATCCACACACAAATCCACCATTAGAAATTAGTCTTTGTTGGAATGGAATCAGGCTCTAAAGTAACCCTCAAGGATGCCGAGATGCATACACCGTAAAAGAAGAGTCTCCTGTATACTTCATTAGCTATTTCAATTCCAAAATTTTATGTTGCATATAAAATAGTGCCAAAGTTCTCATTAGTTTCTCGACACAAAAATATACCTCGTATTGTGAGTCAGTATTGACTCACATTTGAAACCGTAAATTTGCCAGAAACACAAAACAGTCCCATCCATTGTTTGTGAAATTGCTTTTATATATGTGTGTGTGTGTATACTGTGCACTATAGTTTAATGTTAATAATTTATTAAATAAACTTTTATACACCTTTTAGCAGTGTTTTAACTCCAAATCCCTATTAACAGTTGTTTTTTCATTTGCTTCAGAGTGGCTATATTGGGAAAATTAAAAAAAAGCGTTTTTATTCACCTCTTGAACCAGAGGACCTATTGGTAACTTCAGATTTCTTCCCTAGGAAGTCAAGAGAGAGTCATGCTTGTTGTGGAGAAACTGGAAGTTTCATAGAAAAGAAGGAAATGAGTCTGATCTCCTGAGGCTGATTATTGTACTCTTTTATTTGTAGTTAATATTATTGCCCTGTGGTGACTATTTTGTCATTTATCAGCTAGATCTCAGAGACAAAAAAATGGGCCTCATAGTCTCATGGTCCTGAATACAAGGATAAAACCATTCCTTAGTTATGATTGGCTTTACATTCCTCCTTATGTGAGTATCTGTCACATCCTTGTACAGCAGACCCCAAATTTTAATTGTGAAGTCACAGAACTCCTTCTCTGGAGATCTTCAAAACCCGCTTGGATGCAGTCCTGTGCCACGTGCTCTAGGTGTCCCTGCGTATGCAGGGGGGTTGGACTAGATGATCTCTAGAGGTCCCTTCCAACCCTAAGCATTCTATGATTCTATGATTCTATGAACTTAAAATATTTGGAAATCAAATAACTCTGATGAGTGACTTTTCATATCACTAGCACATTAATTGATCATGAAATGACTTTGCTTTTACTAAACATTTTCCAATGCAGAGATTTGCCAAGTTTTTTACAAACATAAACCCTGATCCTACTCATCAAAGTCTATACTTTGAAACTCTTTAAAACCACAAGACACCCTTTAAAAGACATAAAATTTCACGGTTCATTGCTTGCCCTGCTAAAACTATTCCAGGAAATACCAATGGCAGGAAAGCTGTTTAGCAGAGTGGAACACCTTGAGTGGGAAAGTCAAATGAAACAGAATTTTCCAAAATAAAAGCCAATTTTACAGCAATTTTAAGGTATGTTAAGAATTCATTTTCTTCCATGAGCTCAGTGAGCACTATGCTATTACAAATACTGCTGTGAGATTCTAAGTGATGACAAAGTGATAGAGTCTTGGGCTTGTCTTCCACAAAAAAAGCACTTTTTGTGGCACTGACAGCCTAGAGATGGTTGTTGCCAGGGGGCAGTATGCCACCTCCTGAAAATACATTTCGGGGTGGGAGGGAGCTGGGGGGGAACAGAAAAGCACATACAGGGGACCTTCGCATACATATAAACAAGTACATTGTACAAGTACTTGTACAGCACCAGCAAAATCTCTAAAATCATACAAGAGTTAGCCTCTTGTAGCCTCTACTAGAGACTGAGCCAGCTCTGCTTGTCTAGAACTCTGATACTAAAGCTTCAGCCATTTCCTCTATTTCCTGAGGAAACAAAAAAAAAAACTAGACATTCTTTTCAAACTTACCAAGAAAGTCAGGCTTTAGGCAGACATTAAACTTGAAAATATCCAACCTTGCAGACATATGTTAACTTTTGTAATCCAGGGTTTAGAAAAGTATTCTGGGGAATACTGTTTTGTACATTATAGCATTGATTCACTTTTAAAAATCAGTGATACATAGTTGCTTGAATATGCAGAATCTGGAAACTTCAGTACAGTTTTCTAGTTGAAATTTAAAAAATTCAGCTGGACAAGACACTGAGCAATCAGTTCTAGTTTTGAAGATGGCTTTGAATTGACCTACAGGGCTTCAGACATCCCTTCTTACTAATTTCATTCTAAAATAAATGATTCTATTTGGTATAAAATAGCAGTAGAATGGCAGTAGAATAGAAGATAATGTTCCAGGATTTCATGAAAAATATAGCCAAATCATTTCACCCAGGAAAAAATGACTTTCAATGAAGCAAAAATCTTTCGGGTAAGGTATTTGCGTTTTTTAGAACATGTAAATGGAGAAATTTGAAAAATGATACCTGAAAGCATTTTGTTTTTAGAAATATTTACCCTACTTGTTTAAATCAAGAAAGTTTATGTCAGAAAACAATGTAGCATTAGTTAATAGAAGCTGACAGCTGGGCCAAGCTGGGTGAGAGATTTTCATAGCTCAGGAAAACGCTACAGAATCAAAGGTTTTTGATCCTGTTGTATGTTGGTTAACCTCAGCCTTGCAGAAGTTGGGCCAATCCCCTCAGTCAAGCATGCTTTCTGGACTTGATTACGATAGTATCTGAATTGGCCTGGATAAGAACAAAACCCCATGAGCAGCTCAAAGGTTCCTCATGGGAAAGGTGGAGTCAACAGTATTTCTTTTGGTGGGAAAAGATGTCCCAGAAAAAAAGCATCCAGAGAATGGAGAACAGAGAACGTGGAGAGAAAAAAAGGGAGAACAGTGAAAAAAAAAAAAAAGATAAAAAAATAAAATCAGCAACTGACAAAAATGCAAATGAAGATACCAGACAGATTTTTTTTTCCAATACCTGTGTCTATGAAAAACTGAGTGTAAAATGAATGCGCTGTCAGGAAGAGCCAATTACAGCCCAGCAAGAGGGGTTTTCTATAAGTAGACTGTCCACTCACCATACCGTGATTTAACAAAGTGTTAAGCACAATTTCAAAGCCTACTCAGCAAGTTGACAAACCCTGAGACATGCAGACTGGGCCCTTCCTGATGAAAGAATAGCAATCATGTTGTTATGATCCTCACCACTGATTTCCTGGCTGTCCACTGGGTTTGCTCATTACCATTAGGTATATGAGATCATTATGGAAGGTACTCTTGAGGTTGGCAAGATGAGCAAGCCCTTCAGGAATCTTATTCTGCCTGGCTAAAACAGGATAATTAAAATAAATACATAAATAGATAAAAGCTAAGTTTCATTCCCACTGTTGCTGAGGAAAGCAGAGGATATTCAGTATCTTTGGCAGACATTTGGAGACCATGATCTAAAGGTATATCAGTGACTTGAGAATGCTGCTCAGTACTGGCCACATAAATTGTACTCATTAAAATAAATAAACAATAAATATATATATATATAAATAAAATAAATAATAAATAAATAAATAGAAATAAATAAATAAACAAATCTCTTCTGTGTTGTCTTTTTTTTTTTTTCATTTCCTCATTTGTTGACACAATGGAGGAAAGATCCCTGACATTTAATTACAGAGGGCATTCTTCTTGGGAAAGTGACCCTATAAAAAACTGTTATGCCTTGGAGTGCAGCAGTTTGAGCAGCTGTGTCTGGGCTCTGCTTAGAACTTTGAAATTTGATGACCTTAGTGGAAGACCCTGAGGAAACAGAGGGTGATTGCTGGTAACAGGAAAGGGGAGCTAGTCAAGGATGACTTCTGGGAGTAGCTCTAGCTGGGTGGAGCTACTGTTAATGAGCTTTTTTGGTTCCTCATGACCCTGAGGAATTGGGGGTGTTTGATCCATATGTCCATTGTCAAGGGTGGGTCAATCACCCTGTAAGTTAGTACTAGAGAGTGGCCTAGAGTGGCATAGAGCACAGCAAATGCAGCAGTTCGTGCAGAAGGAACAGGAAGTTTTTTTTTTTTTTTTTTTTTAATTGCTACAACATGCAGTAGAGCACAGTCCCCAGTAGGTGCTTGAGCTTCTACATAAGCTCTGTTAGAGTCTTTGACACAGATTGACCCTCTGACAGCAGATGTAGCTCTACAGGTCTCAAGCAGTGCTTGGTGCCTCTCCACGAGGCCTTGGCTGACAGTCAGCCTTCCTGTCATCGCTGCTCTCTGGACAAAGAGTTGCATCAGCAGGTAAAGGAATTACAGGAGGAAGTCAGCAGGCTGTGTAGTATATGGCAAGATGAGGAGATAGACAGGATATTCTTAGAGACCATTCAGCTACAGGAATC